GGAAGAAAGTATTGGCCTTCGCTTTGAGACTGTCTCGCGTTGTCGCGGTCGTCGAGATTCCGCTGTCTTCTAGCAAAGTCGCCGCGAAGGCGCTGCTTGACCCGATTGTTTCGAGTCTGGATTGCTTGATGGTGCAGCCAGTTTCTAAGATACAGCATCTCCTTCTTAATTTGTGACTGGCGCTTGTTGGATTCATTCAATTCTTTGCTTGCTCGATCGAAAGCCTGGGCCTGCTCATCTCGAGCTGTTTTCAGTTCGGACAAATGGTCCCCGTTTGCGTTAGGGTTTTCTGAAATGCTTTGTTAGTATTGAATGCCAACAGAAGTGATAACACACTTTTTAGCTGGGTTTTATGTTTCTTCTTAGCCCGCTTATATGACTTTTTAGCCCTCTTCTTAGCGCTCTCGGCCTTCTTCTTGTCGTCTTTGAGTTCTTTGAGGATGGATTTGATGTCGACTGACTCTCTCTTCAGGTTTTCGATTTGTCCCAGTTTCTGAAGCACTTCAGGGTCGCGTCGTAAGTCCGGGCAACCTGAAATGTAGGTTTCAACGTTCATATCATCCATCTTTGACATGATGACACAAAAGCCGTTTCCGTCCAATCTGCCAGCGATCCTCATCTGGGCTTCATCATATCCATTTTGCATGAGCACTTGTCCTTGCTTCTCGTCTGCGGCACGTATGATAGGGCTCACTACCATTCGCACATCAAGACGGTGAGCGAAGTTCTCGGTAACCTCAGATCTGCTGCCGACAGCATCTCCACATCCAGGAAGGTCGACCAGGGTGATCCCTGGCTTTAGAACATCAGCCTTGGTGTAAATGCGAACTTCTTTCACCAATGGCCACGCAGAAAACTGCTTCTCGCCACCATGTTCCACGGTAGTTGAGTCTAGGAAAGGCTTTATTTCCTCAGCGAGCGCCTCTGCGGTCGTCGCGTTGAAACAGGCATTCCCAACTGTGAGAAAAGACAGGGCCTTAGAGTTAGATTTCAGAATCTCCTCAACCATTTGGTTGTACGTCGAGTTTAGATTCAAACCGCTCACGGCTTCTGAAAGATAACCCTCCTCGTAGCCCCAGACAGCGTAGACCTTCGGGAGTTCGTGGTCGATTGCTTGTCTGGTGATAGCAATATTGTCGGCCTGGCCTGTTCCGTCATCTTCCTCATCTTCAGTGTTGCCAGATAAAAGTTTGGCCAGATACGTCAAGTTCCGCAGCAGTCCCTCGAGCTCTTCTTGGACGTCCGTCTTTTTGCGGAAGATGACCTTCGCCCTGAACTCAAATCCGGGGGCATCCACCCAATTCCAGGATACTTTTCCGACGACTGCAGTTGCCGCTGACTCTTGTCCTGAAGGGAACAGCTCCGGAATTCGGAGAAGAGAGCCCAAGAAAGACGATTTTCCTGCTCCAGTAGGGCCTTCGACTCCCACCAGAATGCGATGACTCTTGCGCTTGGTACGAACGCGACCTGGAACAAATCAGCAAGAGTCACGAAAGCTTTCTTCAGATAGACTTTGATTCTTACCATACTCCTTGAGCCACTGTTCGATGATCTGCTGTCCCATTATAACAGCGTCCATGGCGTCGAGATTTGATGTGCTGAGAAAATGCTCAAGCACCCCCCGAATTTGGCCACAGTGCTCATCAGCAAGCTTCACAGCCTTCTCTTTGATCTTAAGTCTTTCGACATCATTCAGTTCCTGACAGGTTCTCCAACAAAACATAACAGGAGAACGCGCGACTGTAGATGTCTTGCTAGCCTGGCGTTTGCTGGGAGAGACCTCCGGCGGAATCCCAGGTTCAGGCGAAAGTTCACGCTTTAGGCGCGAAGGCAGCGCTTGAGCACTGACCGGCTCCATGGCGGTGAGTAGATATGGAGTTCTGATGAGTGAAACAAAGTTAGAAGATAGGGGCGAAGATAGATGCAGCAAGACGAAAAGTGTGCGGTGATGATCGACAGCCCTGGGAACAGGACTGAAGAGTGTGATGTCGTTGACAGGTAGAGACAAAGGAAGATCAAGGATAGAGCAGGGTGAATGATGTGGACTCCTGATGTCAAGAAGGAAGATCATGAGCAAACAAGGACGGGAAATGATAGCTTTGTGACATATCATGCGAAAGAGGAGTATCTTACCTAGAGTGAGGCTATTCTATCAATACCGGTAGGATCGCGTTGAGAAGTGTTGTGCTAGAGATGCTGCAGATAGAGATGGGAAAATGGGAGAGATGAAACTCGGGTTGGAGGTGTAAACATTCGGCGACGTAAACAATGGACGAGAAGGGGGAGATTGAATGGTGGAATGGGTGCCGTGGGCAGGTGAATCACTGTCGATTCACGGAGAGCGTTGCCTAGGCAGCCGTTCTATTTCACTACTTTTGGGATTCAAGTACCTGTTTGGGCTCTGGCTTATGCAGTAAGCCTGCCAGACCTTCAGCTGGGAGAAGTTCTATTGTTCACTCTTCGCTTTGCACACTGACCCGACAACTCAGTTCACGATGCACCGATTGTGCACGAAGTCACTGGCTTCCTATTGTACTTGGTCTTGTAAGTAATTGATATCTAACCTGCTGATTCCTTACTTCATTTCACATTGCGCAGGAAGATATTATTTCCAAGATGCCCACAGACTCGCATCTCCTTTAAAGATGCAGTGCACAACAGAGGCAGCAGCACCAGGCCCAAAAATCATTGGATAGAGTCCAATCTAACAAAACTTAGTCTTGATATGGTCGAGAGTTCTTTGACTTCAAGATGAGGGGAAGTGATGTTTAATACTGACACTCCACCATATGCACAAAGGGGCAAACAGTGAAAAGATGCACATACAATACCAGGTATTCACTATTGCCCCCATTTAAACAATAATTAGCCTGCTTCATTTTATACAAAGGTAGAAAGATTGAAGAGCAATAAAATACAAACGACTCTGTTAATGTGCCTGGTATCATTGGTCATTAGAACTGGTACCTGTTTCTAAATCTCAGGTTAACCAACGGCATATGCAGCCAGGTGATACGTTAATTGACGGCCACGTTGTAGTCTGAGATTAGGAGGCTGAGAAGCAGGACACCCGCAGCAAACTCTTTCATTCCTTAGCTCATATTCGGCACATCGCTTGTTCTTGAAGGCCAAAAAGAATGGTAATGCACCAAAAGAAGGACATACAACACCAGGTATTCGCTGGTCGTCACCGACCCAACTACTAATCCGGCGCTTCGCGGCTTGACTCTGGGGGAGCGGACGGGACCCCGTATTTTCCGTGAGCTGTGGTCGTATGTGCCCAGCGACTCACGATGTCCAAGCCAAAAATCCATGGTGTTGTGGCTGAGGTGGGCTCGCTTATCTGACCGACCCACCTATGATTTCCTGGCCCAATCTCCACCTGGCAAACGACAACGTCGGTTACTCTGCCCTTCATTTCATACGTGTCACTGACCTCAGGCTTCCTGGCGTCACCAGACACTAAAGGTTTGCCTTGTGTCATTAGAAACAACCTTTTCTTGATGTGTCTATGAAGTCAGCTTGTGGCTTCGGACTGTTATCTAAGACGCGAATAGATTGTTAAAATAAACCATATGCAGCACAGCTCCGGTAGGGGATGGAATCGACGTCCGCGTTTATTTAAAGCGCAGTTCGGGGCATATTATCAACGTCTTGCCCAGATTGCCACCCATCATTGATCAACGCTAAGGCCCGACCCTTTTAACTCCAGCATATAGGCAACTTCATGAATGGCTGTCCTTATGCCTCGCGGATATCTCTCCGCCACAAAATATCGGTTTGACAAAGAACAGGCAGATACCATTATTCACACTGCCGCCTACAACCGCAAAGACTTTCGTCTTTCTGTAATCTGGTTCTCGCCTGGCGAACACATCATAATTCATCAGTCAATAGCAACATCCTTCTAGCGGACTTCTAATGCCGGACTCGGCTCCCTCAATTGGCTACCACTGGGGCTCCTCCATAATACGTTGTTGTGCCTTAATGTATATTCTCTGTTCCAGTTTCGACAGACGAATCGCCGATCGCGAGAGGCAGTAGACTCCCTCAAGCAGTACCAGATAATAGTCTTGCATGGACTAAACCTTTTCTGCGCTCTATTACAAACACGACTGGCCGTTAGCATTTCTCTACTCGGCTTTTACAATGCCCTATGTCTCAAGTCTTGTAGTCTTTGCGGAGAGTTTGGCGGGTTTATGTCTCTCCTAGCATAGAAGCGATGCTGTTTTAAATGCCTCAAGGAGGCTCTCGAGACTTAAGTGCAAACTCTTTCCGCTGCTCGAAAGGAATTCCACTTCATAAAGGTTGAGGTGAGCCAAGTGAAGTCATTCACCTTACCTGGCATATATTCTATGGAGCAATCCGTACGTAAATCCCGTCTTACGATCGTGTCACTCCATCAGGCTGGCTTGATTTCTAGCCGGGAACCCCAATCAACAGGTCAAGTACACTCAGCAAGCTCGGAACAACGTAGAAAGTTCAACTTTATGGGATCATACACACTTCCGTACTATAATAAAGTAAGTGGCAATGTCGAACACAGAATCTCATGTGCCGGTTATCAACTTGCTCTCGAAAAAGATATCATCGGCAGCTAGGGCGAGAAATAGGCATCCGAGGCTCGGGATAAAGTATGTGCACGAGATGGCTTTTTGGAACATTTCAAATGGTGTGAACAGGCACAGCTGCTGTGGGAATCGAGTTGTGAAGGTAACAGAAGGCCAGCTGAGCTACCAGAGGGTGCTCGGAAGGCGGCTACTTTAGTGAGAGGGTATAAGGGATATGACACAGTAGTCAGCCAAATTGGTCCATGCTTTGATAGCCGGGTGGTATTTGATATTATTATGTTGGCGCACTGGGAACTAGATGAAATACATCTTCCATTCGCAACTACACGTATAATTGATAAACTTGGGCTTGCTCAATGTGTGGCGGTAATATAGAGATCAAAGCTAAAGGTTCCTTCACCAACTGCTTCTCTGCGCTACAGAACCCTCTTAAGAATCCAACTTTGGAGCTGATTGGTCTCCAGGATTGTTTTTTACAGGTAAAGATCCCTCGGGTGCTGGTTTTTCATCTGCCCACAAAGGCTGATCGTCAAAGCTAAACTTGAGGATCTCTGGACGTTGATAATGACCAGCAGCATCCACCCAAACCTTGACCTGCCCAAGCTGCGATAGGTCCACCTCAGCCTTGACAAGCTTTTCTTCAGCACCAGTATGCGGCCCAGCAAGAAATGAGCAAAACGGGTGGATAACAGCGGACCATCCTCCACCGGCCTTGACAAACTCCTGCTTGCCTAGATTCTTTTCCATCCACTCGAGACAAGTATCATCAACATAGTTAGACGCTGTGATGACAAAGGCTTGAGCAGTGAGGGCATGCGACTTCATCAAAGCCTCGATTTGAGAATCAGCCACGGCTTCGAAGCCAGCCATGGTCGACAAGGCAGGCCAGGCACCAGCGTGAATATGTTGATGCTGGGTAATGAGCGCTTGGCGTGCCCCATTCATGGTATGCTCCCAACAGCAAAGACCACCGAGGTTGAAAGGCCGTCCCGAAGCTGTCAGCCGGTATGTTCGTAGCGTATGGCCACCACCCTGCGCCCAGACAGAGCGCTCAACATATGTTGGCTGCAGCTTGCGGTGCACACCCAACAAGGTACCATCTGCATCGATATTGACTTGGGAGTTGAAGAGCGTGTACCCTTGAGCTATGCGTTCTGAAATACCGAGGCTGATGGCTACACCAGTGCGACGGCAGGCAGCCGAGATGCGTGCGATTTCGTCGCCGTCTTGGACAACGACACTCTCATCGGCATATTTGGCGAGGGCCCCAACTTGTTGGAGTGGCGGGTAGCACTCAATCCAATACTTTGCCATGTTAGTTATGACATTTCAGCACCGAGGGCGAATAGTAGAGGATGTACCGGATATCCAGGAATAAACGTCTCGGGAAAGACTAGAAGCTCGATGTTCTCCTTGCCCGCTTGCTCAATCAAGCTGATAACCTTGTCAGTAGTAGCGGCCTTATTCATAAATATGGGCGCGGCGTGTACCGCTGCGGCGACAACTTTGTAATCCATGGAGGGCCAGGGACTTGATAAGCGATCAAATCACCAACGATGCAGAGCAACGCAGACTGTGAGTCAATGTGTTGAGATAAATAACGAAATCAGAATAAACTTCCAGAGTTTCAATGTATAAAATGGCAACGAGGGGTCATAGGATATTCACGGGATATTTCCGCGTTGCTAGCCAGTGAAGTGCTTCTTGGCTGACCCATGAAAGTGTGATATGCGACAGGGGTAGCAACGACTGGGTTGCAAGCTTCTGAACCCCACGTTCTGGGAATACCTTTTTAACCAAGCCTGGTAACGCCATCGACCCGAGAGTGTGATCTATAGCACGGTTTCTGCCGACTTTGGCCATAAGCATTCCAGTCTAGTGCTGAGCTCGGGTACCGCACCCCAGACTAGCAGATTAAAAAGGTCCGACGGCAAATAAACGGGCGTTAAACGGTAGATAAGTCTAAGTCTCTAAGCGGCATATGGACGGTTGTAAATGGAGGTTCAGCTTCCCTCAGCAATCCAGCTGTTGTCCAGGTTCAAGGAAATTACCACGGCGGTACTAGCTGTATATAAAAAAGGCTCTTCGCTCACTCTGAAATGGAATTCAATGAATGTAGAGGCTTTAAAATACCACCGCGATCTGTATAGGTATATCCAAAATGCGCATCGATATTCTAGGAACGGCTGCATCAGCAGCTTTCTTGGGCCTCATCATAGTACCAGTACAGGCTCTGAGCCTATGTCCCCTCTTTGGACCAGATCTACCCATTCCAACAGCGCTGAGTGATGATATTTCCATCAGAGATGCCCTGTCAGAGATTCTGCAACTTGTACCAAGCCTCGAGATCGACCTTCAGAACACCTCTTTCTCCATTGACATCTATCCAGCGGCTGACAAACAACCCCTTTTCAGCTACCATCACTCAGCTCCAACCCTACAAAACCATAGACACGGCGTCAAAGCTGTCAATGACACGACAGTATATCGCATAGGCAGCATTTCCAAACTGCTCACAGCTTATGTCTACCTCCTAGAAGTCGGGGATGTTTCTTTTAACCAGCCCGTCACGCGTTACGTGCCTGAACTAGCAGAGTTTTCTGCCAATCTCAGGGGCTCTAGTAATGAGCCAGCCTCTGCTCTCCAATATGTGGACTGGAACGCCATAACTATCGGCGCGCTTGCATCGCACATGGCTGGCATACCACGAGACTTTCCGAGCCCTCCTTCGGCGGACCGCCAACTACAACGGTTGGGACTTCCGCCAGTCCGGGCAGTAGATTTCGCCTACTGTGGGAAAAGCGTCTTGTATCCCTGCAACCGCACCGGTGTGTTTCTCTCATGACTTGAGTTCGTTGTCTCACACAGTACTGACACTTATCGATAGCCTTCTTTGACGCCATACGGACCCGTCACCCTGTCGAAGCGGCCTTTTCAACACCTATATACTCCAACATTGGCTACCAAATCATGGCTTATGCACTTGAGAATATAACTGGAACAGCGTATCCTGATGTTCTATCACGTCAACTTATCCTCCCTCTCGGCTTAAATTCCACGAGCTATACTAAGCCAGCCAACACCAATTCGTCTATCATACCAGATAGCCCTAGTAGGTCTTGGTATGACGTCGACATCCGCGATGCAGGACCAGCCGGTGGAATTTATTCGTCGATCGCGGATCTTCGCAGGATAGGGCAGTCAATCTTGACGTATGAGATGTTGCCGCCCTCCCAAACCCGACGATGGATGAAGCCCCTTAGTTTTACTGCCGATCCACAGGTTGCAGTCGGTGCGCCATGGGAGATTGCTCGCGTTCCTTCCACCACCAACAGAGCCAACTGGATGTATACCAAGGGTGGCCAGTTGGGGATGTACAGCAGTCTGATGGCTTTTCTACCTGATTGGGGCGTCGGATTTACTGTTCTTGCCGCGGGAATCGACGCTCCGGGAGTTGTGAGCAAGATTCCAGCTGCGATTGTTTCAAAGCTAGTTCCTGCTTTGGAGAAGGCTGCTAAACGACAAGCAAGGGAAGATTACAGCGGTCACTACGGAGACGCAAGAAGTGGCATGACTATAACTGTGAAGGACAGTCTACCAGGACTGGGCGTCACGTCTTGGTTTGTCGATGGCCATGACATGTTTGACTCGATCCGCCTGATAGTCTCAGGGTCGTCGACAGGGTCAGGAAACGTCAGCATGAGATTGTACCCGACGGGGCTGAACACGCAAGCAGACGGAAAGACTAAGCTTGAGAGTTGGCGGGCAGTCTACGAAATCATTGACGCCGCCTCGCCGTCCAGTTCTTACTGTGCTAGCTGGTTTAGCGTTGATTCAGTCACTTACGGAGGGGTTTCTGTCGACGAGTTTGTCATCGATATTTCAGCGGACGGCACTTCTCAGGGTATCACCATAAGCGCCTTTGACACCCGGCTTGAAAGGGTACGGCGTTGATTGGTGCCCCCGTGGTAGTTGACGATAGTGTGAAGAGGGGATCTGACACGTTAAGCCTTGCTTACCAAGAGAAGGCAAGACTTACGATCCCTTTACTATGTGATAAGAAGACTGAGATAAACTTAGTATAGCCAAGTTAGACCTTATACTAGTTTCTTTCAGCACCCTAGCTTACATCTAGTTTCTCTGTGCTGATTTAGGCTCTTGGTCACAAGTCTCAACTGCAAATAGCACATCTAGGATTTGTCATCTGAAGCCTTCTTTCTCCCTGATACTGTTCCCACCGATAGATGCGTTGTTTGAGGTTGCTGTTTGTGTCTGAGAGCTTAAATCAGCGCAGAATCTTAGCTCCTATCGACGCGAGTCTGTAGTTATGCTTATCATCTGTTCATCTAGCTCCCAGCCTTATTCTGTCATTTCACTTGGTTTTAGGATGATAAGATTGGATGTTCGTATTCTCAGGACTCGCGTTGCGATTTGTCTCAAGTGGTCTCTAGTCAGGGAGGCTCAGCGGTCATCAAACAGAACTTTTACGCACGAGAATATCATACAAGACAACCTGACAGCGGGGCCGAGCAAGTCGAACTTACGAATACCAGTGGAGCGGCGAGGATACTCAATGAATTAGTTTACCACGCTAGGGGAACCAAACTCTATAGCGGGGAGTAGGAAATCCAACGGGATATATGACATCTTGCTTACATACCTGTTGGCGAGCGGGTGTTCAAAGGAGGTTCAGCGGACAACGCGCAAGCAAATTGGCCCTCTTCATGTCCCACCTAATCTACATATAACAGACTCTCTTATTACACGTTAACTCTCAGTCCAAGACCATAATGCCTCCAGTCTCTTAATCTCTTTCCTTAACACAGCTTGAAAGGTTTCGTCAATTGCTCTTCCTGCGCGTATAACCATGAACACAACTACATCACAACCCAACGGGATCGCAGCTATAGATTTCTCGCCGCTTCTGGCCCCGAATGCAATTTTTCTCTCTTTCTACTCGATTTTGCTTCTTCTACATGTCTTGATCGCCATTCGCTTCTGGCGTTTCTATGGGTACTCCATTGGGATGGTCTGCGGTATTCTATTGGAACTTATCGGATATTGTGGAAAGGTTCAGCTCTCACATAATCGAGATAACAAGGACGGATACATCATGTACACTCTATCTCACCTCTTTGTTATTGTTCTTATGAGAATGAGTTCTAATGGATATGAGCAGGTATATCATCGGCCTCACACTTGGCCCGACATTTCTATCATCTGCCCTCTATCTCAACATCAGCACACTACAGCAACGCTACTCATCATCTCGGTTCACGCGCATCAGCCCTCGCCTTTTCGCGTCCCTATTTATCCTCGGCGATTTCATATGTCTTTGCTTCATCGGGTGCGGTGGCTCTCTTGCGGCTATATTCGCCGAGAATCCAATCGGTGTAAACCTCATGATCACCGGCTTAGCTGTTCAGGTCCTGTTCACAGCCATCTTTTGTCTCGCACTTTTGGCCATTTACCGTCGTGCTTGGCATGGCATTCTTCAAGAGAAGAGGCATCTTTACGTTATAGGTGAGAATATCCTGTTATGGTGCAATTTCAATGACTAATGAGTGTGGTTTGCAGGTCTAGCGATAGCCTCCATCTGTCTCTTTGTACGCTCATGCTGGCGATGCGCAGAGTTGAGCGGAGGTTTCAATGGCCCGCTCGCGTCAATGGAAGGCGTGTTCTTTGCACTAGACAGCGTACCGATGATAATCATGACTGTTACCCTGACCATCTTTCACCCTGAGTTGTGGCTGAGGGCCCGGAAGCCCAACTCAGGAAAGCCTGTTTGTGCCGGGAACTATAGCATGTCTTATGTGCAGACAAAGGACTGAGAATTAATTAGGTCTGCTACTACAGTACTTGGCTCATATTTTCATATGGTTATAAAAACGCCGATTAACTATCAGCCCTTGAACCTACTAAGTAATTGCATCTTTCACGCCCTGAATAGTAAATACCTACAGACTTTCTATTATTACAAACCCCGTTAAACACTATACAGCCATCACATCTCTGGCGCTTCTCGTTTTCCCTTGACTTTTCCTCTTGTCCATTTCCTAGATCCCACATTGGCAATTGCCAATAAGAGGGCCTGGCAGAACCAATAAACATGAATAAAATGACACTAAGAGGGAACTTTAAAGACTCATGAAGGGCATAAATATATCAATCATCAACCGCTGTTACACTTTTGATCACCTCGTGCAAAGATGAGAGCTGCTCATTCAACTTCTCGACCAAGCATAATGTATCCTTGTGCGATCCTGCAGTTTCCACAGCATCTCTAAGTAATGCCGCCTTTGCCGCAAAGCTTTCGGCCCCTTGCGTTAGGGATGCCTCCCCTTGGCTTGCAGAATTCAAGAGTTTCTTCCCGCGATTGCACAGCCAGTAAGCAGTTCCTGCACATATATCGCGCAGAATGTCCGGGGAAAGGTCAATCATGGGATATGTAACAGTGCCTTGAGGTGTGTTCTGGCATATTTTCTGTAATTGAAGCCATTGAGTAGCTTCTATTATATCGTTCGTCATTGCCAAGGTTTGGTATTCGATAAGGTGGTTCAGCATAACCGCCTCCAGTGAGATTGGGTTAGTTATCCCACGTTCTGAGGCACATCTTTCGATCTGCATGTAGCAGTTGTGTTCGAGAAACAGAAGGATAGCCTGTTGCAGCTGGCGCACTTGGGCCAGTTTCCCAGTACCGCGTTCAGCAGTTAGGCTGGAGTCTCTTTTAGTGTCCCAAAGCAAGTAAGGGGGCAACTTCTTGCGCCACTCTTCCAGTTGATCGTATAACTTGGCCACATCTTGGTGACTGACATTTACATGTCCAGCAGCAACACCCAGAAATTCATGGTTTATCTTTTTGACAATGATGGCCAGGGCGAGTATGGCATCTAGATATGTTCTCTCTTCATGCTCTGGTAGTTGTTCGACAATTTCAGTCTGGCCGTCCCTGATACGAGATGGAGATTTTTGGTCCAGGGCGCGGAACGTATCTTTGCCATACACGTACCAGAAAAGCAACCTCTTTCTCCCTTCCGCCCCATGCAGAGGAGCGGAAAGGTCTTCCGACAGGGACGCGTGACAAAGAATCTGATACTGTAGGGTCATGAGGACCAGGCTGTCGTGTGTTAGGAAAAGGCTGCCAAGCTGGGAATGGAGCGCTGCGTTGGCATCCTCATCTGTTTCGTAGGCAAAGTCAACCATGAGAGCCAGAGCTTCGAGGTCGTCCAGTCTGATTGATTGCTTGCTCCCGCCAGCTGATCGTGCCTCGAGCCATACTCGTCTGAACTCGCTCGCCAGCTGTTGCTGCACGGACCATTTTCGCGGTGTCGATATGAAAGGACATCCTCGGCATGCAATAGCATACACCAAGGCAGGGCTGGCTCTGTGGCTAGTGTAGTCAGCCTGGAATGCATCTCTGTCTAGTATCGGAATAGCGAGCGATGTCAGGTCAAAGTAAGCGTCGATAGCTGCTTTGAGATTGCTCGGATCAAGCTCGAGGATTTCATAGGGAGCTGATGAAGCAACTGCGACCTCCTCGCTGGCGTATACTTGAGGACTGTTGGGCATATTGTCGAAGTTATAGTCGTGCGTAAAGACACTGTCAAGGAACGAGATACTCTCGGCTCCCAGATCCCAACTGATATCTTGCCATGCAGATTCAGATTCAACGGCCGGACATTGTAAACTTGGGTCAATAGGTAATACCTGAGTCTGGGGTAGGGCGGAGGTGGTCTCGTTATTGACAAAACTGGTGTCGTTGGTACTGCCGGTAGCATTACCCCCATCGACCACATGCCCGTCATCGGGACTGGGTGAGATCCGGCTAGCAGCAGAGCGAGCATCAAGTCGCTTGTTACGTTTGGCTCGATCACGGTTGTCGGGAATTGCGGTACAAGCTATATCCCGTAGGGCACAATGCGAACAATCAGCGTGGCCTTCCGATCGGCGAGACACCCAATCGCACTTGACCTTGCGCCGAAAGCAAAAGTCACAAGACTGGCGCTTAGTACCAGGCTTCAGATACATGGAGCCTTAGAAAATAGAACAAATTGAAAGATGGTCAAGGTGCGGGAAAAAAACAGTCCGAGGTTCACTAGAAAATGGCCGTCGTTGCGCTCAGTTTTCGGGGCTTGGGCGGGAGAACGACGGGCGGATGTCCAGGACACCAGGTAACTAGGTAGGCAGCTGAACAAGGTGCTAGATCAAACACGTCGTTGCGCCAGGGTTGACATTTATTCTGGTTGATGAAGGTTGATAGTCAAAGTGTAGCCGGGTACCTGTGAGAAGTTGCATCATTACCAGCAGGGCAGAGTTCATCAAGCAAAGCGGGAAGCAAGTACTTACCTTAGTTAGGTAGTCAAGAAATTAGGAGGAGGCTTGACCTGTTGGTCAGTTTAGCGGACCAGACTCTAATTCATATGACCAGAACTAATACAATGTTTAATTGGTGTGCCAATGAAAAGACATTGGGCTTTTTAATTGCCGATTTAATATGTAAGAAAAGAACAAGTTACTACTGATTCGGCTTGAGGACCGTACCAAGCGTCTCCGGAACCAAGACGTTCATATGTAGGGTAGGTAAGTTGAATCTCACCTACTCCGTACTTCAGTCCCTAAATAACTCCATTAACGCGCTCCCCTGCCCTGCCGCAACTCATTCTCACGTCTCAATGCTCCAACGGCACCGAGATGCCAAATATTTCCTCTGAGCCCGAGGCGCCCATTTCTTGTGCATCCCATCGTCCATGTCATCTCCTCGAAGCCATGATTACAATGCCAGATGTAGAAAAGCCTAAAAACCCAACCCTTGCTGAACGAGTCTCCTCGCTCGGCATCCTTGATCGTCTCCCACCCGAAATTCTATACATGCTCCTAGGCATGCTTGACATCCAGACCATTGCAAGTTTCGTACGCGTTTCCTTCCGAGGGCATTCATACATCCAATCGCTGCTGGCATACCGAGATCTGGTCGCGTTTGCTCCGCAGACGCTTATGGCGTTAGGCAAAACCGGCTTGCTCAATCTACATTCTGTCACCGAGCTCCATGCTGCCTTACGACAAGAACGGTGCGCCTCTTGCGTCGAATATGGCGCCTTTTTCTTTCTTCCTACCTGCGAGAGATGCTGCTGGGAGTGTCTTCGCCACAATCCATCATTACGAGTGCTTCCACCAAAAGAAGCAAAAAGATATTTTGGTCTTTCAGAGCGGCATATCCGACGACTACCCACAATTTCCGTTATTCCTGGCAACTATGGCATATCCCGCACCCCCTCTCAGAGGTCTTGCAGGCTCGTTAGTGTAAAGGCAGCGAAGGAACTTGGACTGATGGTGCATGGATCTGCGGATCAATTATCGCAGGTTATGATGACGAAATGTAAGTCTGGAGGACTGCGCGTTGACGGTCGGTTCCTTCAGAGCGACCCAGTGATCTCCCAAAACCAGGATCCTCTATTACTGCCGAGTCAGGGCAATATTCCCACTGACAAATTCTTTGGCATGGCTTCTATTCCATTTCCTTCACTCTCAGCTTCGGGCAGGCTCGAGAATGGTCTGTGGTGCCGGGGCTGCGAAATCACCCTCCATCACCATGACTCCCTGCGCTTACCTCGGCACGTACTTGCGGCCCTGGTCCCAAGGCCCCGTGATGCACTGCTCGTGTTGTTGGGCCTAGAGAGGCGAGCCTGGTCAACAGAGTCATTTCTGGAACACATCAAACACTGTTATGGCATTCAGCAATTAGCCCCCCAGCTAACAATGGGAGGCGACTGAATTTAAACTCCATCAAAACAAAACTAAATACCAATTTGATAGATCGCAACGGAATCGACCAAAAAGGTAAGGACTGATGAGGGCCTCATTGGCCAGCGGCATGTCTGGCTCAGTGCCAGCCTCGTGTTCGACTTCTTATTAGTTCAACCCCATTAGGGCTGTATCGACCCCGATATCCCTTCATGACCCTGTCCTCCTTTGGCAGATACTTGGGACAATAGCTTCGTGATATCCTATCCTCCCTCTGTGCGCGAGTACTGTAGGTTTGATTCACTATCGTACTAGAGATAATCCATGACGATGGACACTATCGGTTGCGCACTGGCCGGGGAGTCCGCTACCTGAGGATCCCCATCGGCACATTCGACGATGATACCATGTGTCGACCATATCTCCTCATTACCAGGCTTCCGGAGCTTCCTGACTCGCCGTGGACCGTCATGACCATCTCGCAGGACGAGAATGGCTCTCTCACGTCTGTTATCTCCATGGATCCGCTGCCCGAGATCCGCACAGAATGGCATGAACAGCACGTCGACATCTTGACCCTGAAGAGCACGAGAAGTTTTCGATCTGGAGTTCATGAGGCCCGATATAATGATGTACCTACCATCGCCAAGATCGCTTGTTTTGAATGGGAGATGCGCAGAATTGAACGTGAAATATGGGCGTATTCACTGCTGGAAGACCACCATAACCAACACCCAAACAAATCACCCATTGTGCCCAAGTTCCTCGCTCATCTGACTGAGAATGGCAGGATCATGGGCCTTCTCCTGGAAAAAGTGAAGGGGAGTCAGCTTGCGCCGACGATTTGGAGCGCTGCGAAACCCTTCCTTGTTGATCGAGTTTCTGGAAGCAGCGTGCGGTTGGTCGACTTTGAACACACAGAGGACTTTGATGAGTTGCTGGCCAGGGAAGAGCTGCTATCATTACCAGCCGAATTGACGGAGGAAAGTGGACGGGGAGCGACCATAGAAGTGAAATGAAACCTGCGACCTGTCTGAGGCCGGATTTTACTTAATAAAAATAACTAATAAAATACTGAACCTTAAATCTTAGAGAAGACTTATTGACCATGTAAGTATTTACTTTCTAATGCCTTTAGAAATAACAAGTCATGATCTTGATTCGACCTGAGTGCTACCATGGGTCTCTCGCTGCTTACCTAATCCAATCTTAGTCATCCAAACAGCTCCAACAACGCGCACCCCTGACACGTCTCCTCAAGCACCACGATACCATCACAGTTCCTCCCCCGCGCTCATTCCAACACCACGCTCCTTAAAAAACGACCGCCAAGATGACTCGCGCTCAGCAGACCATTTCTCTCGCCCTCTTGGTTTCCTCCGTATGCTTACCATATCTATCTCGGTGGAATTGAACTAACGCTACCCAGCTCTACCTTGCGCTCTTCCTTGAGCTCATCCCTCTTCCTCCTCTGATCCAGGAGCAGATCGTCCCTGTGGTATGACACCCCCAAACACATACTCCAAACTTCAATTATCTAATTGGCGGCATTGTAGCTCCCCTTCTGGGCCCTCGTCTCGTTCGGCGCATACCTCCTCTTCCGTCTCGGCTTTGGCATCCTCACCTTCAACGACGTCCCCAACGCACACAAGGAGCTCACGGCGGAGATTGAGCAGGCCAAGGTTGAGCTCCGACAGCTCGGCGTTACCGTCGACTAAATTGGTGAAACGCACCCGCATACACGATGATCTAAACGGCTATAGAAGGGTTAGGGGGAATGTGGATGAGGTTACAAAACTTTAATTACAATAATCTGGTATCTTATTCTTGCGACCTGCGCAAAAGAACTCTACACAGCAAGCGCCTATGCTTGTGAGGTTTACCATCTATATGGACTCTATCATGATTGCTCGCCGGCAATGAGTGCTACAATTGTTCGTACAGCTGTTTCGGGTTCTTCGTGTCCATGTACAAGTTCTTCAAATAGTTTGGGGATCTTCGCAAGTGATCCTCGTTCGTCTGTTTGGTGCCCTGTGATCGTCAGCAATTGGTTACATCATTGTAGTCGTGCAAGCACTCACATTTTCCTGGGGCGCCTACCAAGACTGAGAGTCTGGTTTGCGCTTCTCCAGTCCAGTCAAACTCGGTCTTCCATCCCAGTCGTACCGTTGCGCCTGACTCCTCTGCATCGCCGTACGGAACTGATACATCGAAGTGTTGCTGGCCCAAATAGCGAATGAGGTCTGCTTTCTTGACAGATTTCACTTGTGTCGGCTCGTCCTCATCCGAATCCTCACCGCTGTCCCTCCTCCGTCTGTGTTTCTTTGATCTCATTCGAGACGCAGCCTCTAATACACCATCCTTCGAGCCTAGACTTTGTTCCAACTGGCACCAAAAGCCTGCTCTATCGATTGCGACTCGAAGCCACTCACCCATGGCCCAAGACAGGATGCCGATATTGCGTTGCATGGAACGGTTGCAGTCACCTGTGCATATCTTGCGAATGAAAGGACCGAGCTCAGGCTTTGCAGCTGGTTCCAAGGCTGTGACGCCGAGATCGAGAACCGTAAGCTCTGTGGCATTGACTGTCATCTCAATCTTGGCTGTAAAGATGCCTGGTATCTCGCGTGATCGAAGTGTAATGGAGTAATGCTGCCTCAATGGTTCTCCATCAGCCTCTGGTAGGATGGACGTATTGGATGTCATCGAGAATGGTGTAAAAAGCTCAAGATAGGGCAACTCCTCTGTCGCTGTCATGGCCACTGGATGATGTGACTTGATGTCAGGCTGCTTCTCCTCAACCGATGGTCGGACCACTGACGCTGTAGGCTTGCTGAAAGGCAACAGAGCAGCGGGATTTAGTGCCGCTTGCAATAATTGCTGTGATGCTGTTTTACTCTGTTCTGTACCAGTAGACATGAGATGCCGCTCAATGAGGCTGATGACCTCGTCTTGATTTGTCGGTGCAAGTGTGCGGCCAGACTGTTGCATCAATCGAATGCGTTCATTCTCCTTTCGCGCAATTTCAAGGTCCTTCTTCAAGTCCTGTATTTCTTTCTGAACTCTATCCCGCTCCTTCTTCTTCTCTGCATCCGGATCAAAGGCCCGGGGTTGTCTCACCTCTGGAGCGCTGGTCTGAGCCGGTGGCGGTTCTCTCAGCGCCGATCCCGCCTGAGCGAAGCTCTTCCGTGGCTTCTCCAGCAGACGCGACGGCGGTTTGCCTAGCGGCGAGTCCTGTTGCTGTGAGAAATCGCGGAATCGAACTGGGCTGTTCTGGAAGCTCTTTCGTGGTCCTGTGTCGCGTGGCGGAAGTCGAGGTACTGGTTGTGAAGCTGATGGAGCGGCGTCTTGCGAGTTCGGTTGCACTAATGGTGGTATTCTTGGAGGCGGCATTGAAGCTGGCGGGGGCGAGGATGAGAAATCTGGCAAAGGTGGTGGTGGGCTCGGGGAGTCTCGTTCTGGTTCGGGATCAGGCTGGGGTTCTATCTCGAGTTCCAACCCTGATTCTTGTTCTGGCTCCGCTTCTGGTTCTTGTTCTACGTCTTGCTCAGGCTCTCCGTCCGATTCTTCTTTTGCTTCTGGCTCTGGCGCTGCAGGGCCTTGAGCTGGGGACGGTGATCTGAATGGAGATGAAGATCGCGCTGGAATCTCGAGATCATATGAAGAAAACGACCTTGCTGGTGACGGACTTCCAGCTGCTGACGCGGATTTCGCTGGTGACGTCTCCTCCACAGGTGCCAGCTCCTCAGACTGAATGTTAGTGTCCCCCTCAGGCTCCTCCATAGGCTCATCCGAAGGTAATCCAAGCTGAGGCTCTGGCATAGAAGCAGGTGGCGCAGGAGGTGAACTCGCCTCGATCGCAGGCGGTAACTCGGGCTGTGGCATCGAAGCAGAAGGCGCATCGACATCCATCCTAATGCCAGCCTGCGGCGATCTTCTCAAAACCTTCCCCCGAAAGGGATTAAAGTCATCCTCCTCCGCACCCGCACCCGCTCTCGAAGACGTCCTCCTAGCAGCAGAAGCCATTCCTCCTCCTACACGTCTGATCGAACCTGGCGTCGTATCTTCAGGGCGCGTAGGTGTAGGAGCATCGCTAACAATCCTACTCGTCGCCAAACGCGCCGCCAGAGCTTCCGAAGGGCTATTAAAAGTGAATTGACCCGAAGCTCGGGCACTCGGTAATTTCTGCGGCGATCTCGATCGTCGGCGCTCAAAAGCCTCGGGGTTATTTCGTGACATGCTTGCTTTGGTTGGTGATGCGTATGATGGCCGTCTTCTTTGCGGTGACGCGGGTTCTTCAGTTGCGCCGACGTTGAGAGAAGTGCGCGGCGAAGTACGCCGTCGCTTTGGTGCAGATTCCTCCATTTTGTGTGATTGGTATGCGATTTGAGGGCTCTGATTATAACATTTGGCGATGTTGGATTGCCTTGTCGATAATTGGTGATCGCATTGGTTTGTGTTTACTTAGGATGACCCTGTCGCGTCTGCGAAAGTGGGCCTCACCGCTTACCGAAACGGGCAGATTGTTTTCGCGATGCCAAATGTGGATTGAGGTTACACAAGCGGCTTTCGAAGACCTGAGAGCTGCAAATTGACTGTATAAAGGCCTGAAACGGAGTTGCCAAGGTCACCATTCTGCACTGATGCCCAAAGAAGTCTTGATTCAGTAGTGATTACATAGCCAGAAACTGTCCCAGATGAATCCACAACCGAGCACTTGAAGAATCACGTGCTTCTTCATTATTTGCGAGCGCTTGAAGTCATCTGGTGCAAATGACATGGCTGAGTATCTGTTTAAAGTCTTTTTAAGTCTGATAAGAAGATCCATCTATTAAACGCCATCTTTGTGTAATTATACTGAGTCTGAAGTCATCACGAAACTATATCGCAAGCTTGAAGAGGTTCATTCCGCCCCCACGTAACCCCAGTTTTCGCTAGCTTCACCCCAGCCGATGACGTCCGAGGCGAAAATGACGGACTTCCGACCCTCAACACCAACTTTCTCGGCTCTCGCTATTTGTATTACCAACCCAATTTCCTCACTTTGTCGCCCGCCACTCCTCCCCCTTCGACACTTAAAATTCCATTTCACCGCACCCGTGTACATCTCAATTAACAGCACCGATCCACAATGTCAATACCGTCCAGATTATTACCTCGGCTACGACCCTTAATACCCTCACGAAGCATCGTCAGCGCCGCACCGAGACACATAGAAGATTGGCCGCAACGCAGTTCTCTCGGCCCTTACTACGAAGTAATTCTCAACAACCCGTCCCACATCCCAATCGACAAACCAGAAGTCCCTCCCAAAACAGCAGACCCCTCGGTGCAATCAGAGTTTCCCACCAAAACCGCTGTGCAAACACCAGAAGAAAAAGCACGTTTAGTTTTTGGCTCACGCCTCTTCGGCTCCGCAGAGAAAGACGAGCGCCTAGCAGCACGAAAAGCAAAAGCCACATACATCGCCGGCGTTCTCGTCCCGCCTAAGCCCGTTGAGCCGGATAACTGCTGCATGAGCGGCTGTGTGAACTGCGTGTATGACCAGTACCGCGATGAACTGGAGGAGTGGCAGCTCAAGAACGCAGAGGCACAGGCTGCGCTGAGAAAACACGAGGGGTCTATGGACTCGGACGGTGGAGGGTCGGAGTCGAATTGGGTTGCGCCAGAGGTCGGCAAGGCCAAGATAGCGAAGGACTTTTGGGACGAGGAGCTATATGCGGATTTGCCAGTTGGGATTAGAGAGTTTATGAAGACGGAGAAGCTTTTGAAGAAGAGGCATGAGAGTGAGGGCACCAAGGAGAGCTGAGCGAAGTGTGAGTTGGAAAAGGTTATATGTGTGGGTTGAGACATGATGGAAAAGCTTATACCCCCTTTTGCATTTTCATTAATGGGGTTTTGGATGATAGAGTTGATGATTAGACTATAGACATGAATATCTGTATTTCACAAACTTCCATTCGAAATGGCAAAACTTTAGTATCGCAAACTTTAAACCTGGAATATAAGACTCGCGTTG